TTTTAAATTCAAGTATGATGTAGCGCACCTCTTTTATACCATGTTTTAATTATACTCTGATGGATTTTTAATATGTGTCTAAAAGATTTATTTGATTTATTGGGGGTATAGAAATGGGGTATTACACTACCACAAGAAATGTTCTTGCTTCCAAAGATGTTGTTTCACGATCGATGACTATGGAGATTCGTGAAGGTCGTGGTGTAGGTAAGCTGCTTTTTCATTGATATATCTAATGTATTTATAAATTTTTTTGGAAAAGTTAGGACGCCACTAATTGTTGGTAATTATAGCAAAAATGAATAATGGTGGACTGGGGTTTAAGCTGTGTAAATTGTTTGTCAGGTTTTATTTTCAAGAGATTTTGAAATTTCCTATAAATGAATGTATTTTCTAATCTTGAAGAGACCAACTATTGGATGCGCAGACAGGAAGAAGTAACTGTTTAAATTTGTGTGCCTTATCTTGCAGACAGGCAAAAGTTCTGGAGATGCTGGTGGTGCTGCTGACAGGGTTTTGAATCAACTGCTTACAAAAATGGATGGAATGCCGGCAAAGAAAACTGTTGTTTCTGTCGTGAAAAGGTTTTCGTCAATTCGATCTTGCTGCCTTTGTGTATAGGTGTTGCAACGATGATTACGGTCATCGAAGTGTAAATTATAGAATTCTGATGCAAACTACATAATGTTCTGTCATTTGAAGCATTGTTCCAGTTAATGCCAATGGGCCAATGTTCCAGTCATTTGAAGCTGTCATTTGAAACTATTAATGTGAATTCATTCCCTTTATCTACTGAAATTTATATATATGAAACGTCCTCCAGCAGAATTAAATATGACTTATGTTATTTTGTATGTATATACTGTGTTAGTTATTAATTGCTTATGCATAGTATATATACTTGGTAGCACTTGGCATCATGCTTAGTATGTATATATTGTGTTAGTTATTAATTGATCAATAAGTCATATAATATTCATCTAAAGATGTTTTAAGTTTGTGATAAGTCTTAAAGAGTTGTGTCTGCTGTTATTCGTTATTATGCCTTTGGTGCCTCACCTGTTTATTTATATAATTGGAAAGAAATCATAACAAATCACGTACAATTCTTTAAAGTTTTATGTATTTAATATTTGAAACTGAAGTTAGATGCGGTAACAAATGTTGATACTTGTCTGGATTTGATGTGTTCGCCATCCCAAGAACTGAAAGACCCATAAAAGTTTAATAGTATTTATAAAAAAAATCATAAGAAACAATTATGGTTTTTATTTTATTTTATTTTATTTTATTTTATGTTCATAATTCTTAACTGTATTATGTTCTACATATTCTATTATGATATCCTCTATCTCATTGTAAAAGTCTAAAAATATTATTGTCATAAACGGTCACAACTTTAATTTTGATTCAAATTTTGTTATATAAGCTAAAATACTACTTTTATAAATGGGAACAACTATAATTTTGATTCAAATTTTTTTATATAAGATAAAATACTACTGTTATAAATGGGGACAACTATAATTTTGATTCAGATATTTTTATATACGAAAAAAATACTATTTTTATAAACGGGCAAAACTTTAATTTTGATTCAAATTTTTTGATATAAAAAAATATTATTGTTATAAACGGAGACAACTTTAATTTTGATTCAAATTTTTTTATATAACATAAAATACTACTATTATAAACGGGGACAATTATAATTTTGATTCAAATATTTTTATATACGAAAAAAAATAATATTGTTATAAACGGGCACAACTTTAATTTTGATTCAAATTTTTTTTATATACGAAAAAATTACTACTTATAAACGGCCACAATATTAATCTTAATTCAAATTTTTTTCTATACGAAAAAAAATACTATTGTTATAAACGGGCACACCTTTACTTTTCAATAATTTTTTAATCATATTATTATTGATATTTTTGTTTATCTTTCATCTTCTACATATATTATCACTTCAGCTTAATTTTACTATTATTCTTAAGTTTTAATCATATTATTATTCTTGAATTTACTATTATTATTTAGTTTCATTTGTTTTTGGTCTACCTATTGATTAATATTTTTTATTTAATATTTTTAATTATTATTACATTATTTGAATTTATATCAATAATTACTTTAGTTACTTCTTTTACAACACACAACATTTTCTTATATTTATCAATTTAATTTTTTAATTTTAATCATATTTATTTTTATAATTTTACTACTGTTATTTTTAATTTGATTAATAATTATGAGTCTATAATATAAAATTCTCGAACAGACAGACCTATGCGAACCAACACACGGATAAGTTAGGAGTTGATTATAAATTATAAGTCATGGGCGATGAGTTTGACTATTCAAAACTGAGCCAAGGAGTAGGGTATCTCCTAAACTTAATTATTGTTTTTAAAAAATAACATAAAAACGAAAGAACAGAGCTTATAAAAGTCAAGCTTCTGATCCATTAACGTATCTGTATTATCTTCTTACG